GCCCCCGGCCCAGGCCGCTGCCTCTCTGCCGCCCCGGCGCGGCTGGGCTAATGGAGGAGGAAGGGGGGCCGGCTTTGGGGGCAGCGGGGCTTCAGAGTGAGGGCTGCAGTGACCCTCTGGGCCGCGTTAGACCTCGGACCTCGGCTTTTGAGGGACAAATTTGCGATTCGTGCCATTGAAACAAGCCCAGGGCCAGGGGATGCAGCGGTAGCTCTTTGTGCCTTGCCGGGGTGGGGGTGTTTGGAGACCGGGATGGAGGGTCCCTCTCTCCGCCAGAGCCTTGACCTGTTGGTACCATGGAGCTTGACAAGGCCCTGGTCAATGGAAGCTCTTTTTTCTTCTTCCTTTTTCAACCCCACGGCTAAATCCATATGGGGTATGGGGGTGGGGAGAGGCCGGATCCGGGGCCAAAGAGCAATCGGGCGGCTTTGGGCCCAATGCACCGTTATGGATCCTTTAGAGAAGAAACTAAGCTGAAATTGGGAGCAAAAATATTCCAGTAGGCGAATGTGTATCCATTCGCGTAGAATCCCTCTCTCTCTTGCCCCAAGGAAGGGTCAGAGGAAACAACCCAGTGTAAGAAAAGGGACCTTTGTTGTAAAAGGGATAATTTTTAGGGAGGCCTTAAAATACGTATTTGGGGAAATAGATTAATTCCTATTCCCCCTTGGAATTTTTGTTTCTATGAGACTCACTGGGTGAGCTGGGGTTGCAGTCTGCTTCCAAGAATTTCAGCTGATCGGATGCCCACGACTTTTGGAAGGTGCCCGCAAAGTGTAAGTGTGCGCTCCCTTTGGAAAGTGTCTCCATTGAACTCGAGCCGAATCCAGCTGTGTTTGAAACATTCTTAAGAGGCCTTGTGCAAGTGTGTGTGTGTGTGTGTGTGTGTAAAATATAATGTGCACTTTATTACCGTGTTCGTAGCAAGCAAAGCGGGTTCTAAGGCGATAGTGACCCATATGTTAGCGCGTGTGTGTTTCTCTCGCTATGTGTGTATGTAATACAGAATAGAAAAAGATTGGCAGCTGCTCTGAAATATCATTAGAGCTCTATACATATTTTAGAGATAGGGGATAGTATTAAGGTGAACAATTTTACCGAACCTTTAAAATAAACCGAAAGAGGGAAACATTGCAGTAGTAAGAGCCCGTAATTCCATGTTCTGGGCCTACAGTTAAACAAAATAACAAAAAGGGAAGTTTCATCTTTTGCGAAGTGGTCCTTCTTGCGAACTGGATGTCAGACAGTAGCGAGGTTTGCTGTTATCTGCATTTTGCTTGAATAATGAAATTCGCTGAATTTC